CATGTTAATTGTGAGATAAACCTGGTTGCTCTGTGATGACCCCTGGTGGGAGGAAAAACTTAAATTAATTGGACATTGTAACTTAATTCTAAAAAAAATGTGAAAATATATTTGGAAAATACATTATTAATCTTTTTTTTACTTAGTCAATTCATTTGGTCCTATAATTTATAAATCTTTAAAAGGAGCCTCATATTAAGTTAGCTTCAATTTTATACACTGGTTTTCTGATTGCATCATTGTTCCATGGCTAAAGCAGCTGTAGGTGGCCGAACAGGAAATTTCCCATTTATATTAGTTTTGCTTTTAATTTTCTTCCTAATTTTCTCCATTTAAGCGTCAAAACTTGTGCCAAAAAAAGAAAACCCCACTTCTGGTAGCTTGTTCAATGTACATCCTCGTCAAGTTAGTGTAGTTTAACAGGAGACATTAGCTTTTAATGGCACTTAATTGTCCAAAAAGGAAATCCATAACCACATAAGGAGAAAAGTCAAGTATTTCCAAGCTCTTTATAAGAACAATTTAGAACAGACAAGTGCTTTTCAAACCTTGGCTTGAAATCAGTCCGGTCTGGTCAGGGTGAGAGGTGGCCTTCATTTGTGAGCCTGCAGTGCCACCATTTGGCCATTATCAAAACCTTCGTTCACTGCTGCGTCCTGGCACTTAGCAAAGAAACTAAACACACTACTATTTTTTTAAAGAAATGGTTTCACCTTAAAAAAAAAAGACCTGTAATTACCCCTCACTGAACACACAACTAGACAGCATACAGCCATAAAATTACAATAAATTAATTTAAAATTCGGCCACAACGAACTATTTCCAGGTGCAGAATTAGAGAGGGAAGTAAACAACCAGGCCCACTGTTATTAGTGATGGATTACTCTCGGTCAATGCCATCTTGGATAATGAGCAGTAACTTGCATTTCAAGAACAGGGTAGGTTTGCCAAGAAGGAACGGTGATTACAATCAATTAAGAGTGATGACAAAGCATCAACAATAACCCAGCCTAAGTGTGTGTGTGCAAGAGAGAGAGAGAGAGAGAGAAAGAGATTGAGATAGAGAGAGCTTGTGTTTTATTCACACATCCTTCCAAACACCCCTGTTTTGTGTAATCAACATCTGTTGTGACAGGCAACCTCCTTCTTCCTCAGAATGGCCCACTTCAGATAATGAGTGTCATACCAAACTGCAGGGCAAAGGCTGATTTTGCTTCTCTCTCCTCCTCGACGGCCTCAGTTCCCACTTCCCTTGGTTCTCTCTCCTATCATCCAACGCATCCATGGTGGAGATCTTGAAAAAAGGAGATAAATGCTCGTACAATATTGTCTGTTCTCAAAATCTGGGGGCGGTTAATGGAATGCACGTTCTTCCCTGCTTATTGAGGATAGAAACTTTAATGAAGCTACCTATAAAACACAGGAATCTTGGTTTTCTTTTGAGATTTTGTGCGCCTTCGCTGACAGTGTGCCCTCTTAAATCATTCTGAACCACTTTCACTGGCACATAATACTTGATGTGCAAGCCACAGACTCTGAACAAAATGCTTCAAAATAAATAAAAAAATGACTTGTTTCTTTGCATGCATACTAATGGCTTAGGCGCCATCTTCTGGTAAATTTGGTCAATTTGAAACAAACATAGATGCTCAAAGTTTATGAGCTAAAGAGTATGTTGTGGTACTAAATCAAAAAGCAATCAAGAAATGCCTACTATTGAGTAATTCATCCCAAAAAGTGAAACCCCTATATTACACAAATTCATTACACACAGAGTGAAATATGTTAATGTTTCATTGAAGGTGATCTTAATTTATTTTCAGATAAAATGTGAGTCTTAAATAACATCAGTAAAAAAGCTTGAAATTTTAACACAAAAAGGCTATGTTATGAACATCCTGTGGCCTAAAGTGATGGGGAAACTACTGGCCTGATCTTCTGCTGACAAGTGTACAAGATTATTGTCAAGAACACCAGCTTTGCAAATTGCTGTATCCAAGCATGTTACTGGAAAGCTGAGTGGAGGCAAAAGGACTGTGCCTGAAATCAGAGCTTCAAAACTTTTAGCAGCTTCAACACAGAGATTTATCAAGGACAAGACTGTAACTGTTGCATTGCTTGTGATTAGCCATTATTAAACCAGATACATTGAATTTTAAATTACAGTCAGTGATAATTTGAGGGGCTATTCCATCTGCATGAGCTAATCGACTCATTTTTATTTTTTTTTTATTTCTATTCTTTAAAAGTTTTATGAAATATTCAAATTTTCTGACAAGCTATTTTGAAACAACAATGCATGCACACAGTCATTCCCAAGGTTTAGAGAGACCAACATGTGTGGTCTCTCCAGGCAGGGAAACCTGGACAGAATGTGTACAAAGAACAATCAGCAGAACTTTATGTATAAAGGCTTTTATCAGACTCAAACCAAAGTCTTTGGTTGCAGGGCAGTGCTGCCGACACCTGTGTCACTACATAGTCCTAAATATATTTCAAATGAAGCTTCATTGCATTAGGTTATATTCAGAAGCAGAGCAACCCAGTAAGAAATGTTCTGTATGAATAGTTAGAAACAACCCAGAGAGATTATTCTTGTCATGAAATAATTCAAGTCATTTGTACCAAGAACAAGAAATACATTTTTCCCCTTCGCTTCAAAAGTAATATTCTGCAAATTGATACTGACAAGTGAAATGATTGCAACTACATTTCAATTCAGAATTGCTGCTGAATATTTTCCAATAATATTACCAAACTTAAGACTTGTCTCAGATTAAAAACATTTTTGTCCATAGTTTCCTGTCTGTAGTGTGGAGCTAATTATGCTTTTGGTCATTTAAATAGGTGACTCATAGAATATGTTTCTCATCCAAACCTTATGTATTACATGACTAAAACAGTTGTAGCTTTGGTGCCACAAAGAGTGATTTCATAGTGAATTGAATTAAAATAAAATATAATCACATCTCATTCAATGAGTAAACTCCATTTATTTATTACATGTTGTAATAATGGGTTCACTCAATGATGCAAATCACTTGCAATGCATGCAAAAGTTTGCAGTTCATTGTACTATAGCAATGAACTTCAGGATTCATTGCTATAATGCTAGGATGAAAGTATTTTACCATAGGTGGGATGATTCCATCATGAGTGTGTGAATGTGTGCGTGAATGACTGAATGTAGTGTGAAGCGCTTCGGAGCACCATACAAGTACAGGACATTTACAGGCCAGAATGAGCATGCATGTAGCGACAGTGGATAGGAAAAACTCCTATTTAACAGGAGGAAACACCAACAGAACTTGACTGTGTGAACGGCCATCAGTCTGGGGATTTGAGAAGACAAAGCCTACACACAAAAAAAAAACAAAAAAAACAATACAGAAGATAAAAAAATAAAAAAAAACCAACAGTAGAGCAGTTATTATTATTAATAATAATAATAATAATAATAATAATAATAATAATAATAATAATAATAATAATAATAATAATAATAATAACTTCATTCGTGGACACTTTCAAACAAAGTATTGAACAGTTACTAGAAGATAACATAAAATAAAAACAGACTAAAACAATACAGCTTGAAAACATATAAGACACAAAAGGAACACCTTTAATTACTAGTAAGATTTTAGGCCATTAGTCCAGAAAAGGTTTCAAAATGATTATATTGCAGCCAGAAGTGACCCAATTCTGATTATTTCTTTTGACCTAATGCAACCTGTATCTGATCTTTTCATAACAGTCTGAACAACACAGGATTACTTGCAACCAAAGTGAGAAATGGAGAAAACATGCAGCAATTGCACATCTAAAATTCTTTTGATTATCCCCAAGACTTTTGAGAAAGTAGTCAGTGAAGTGATAAGATAAAAGTGGAAAGTGTGTCATGTTACAGCTGACCTAAAAACTAACACAGGATTTAAGGAACAGACAATCATATTTGCAATAAAACCTGGTGGTAGCAGTGGGAGGGTTTGGGGCTGCTTTGGTCTCTTGAGGTCTGGGAGACTTGCCATGGCAGGTGGAATCATAAAATTTGCTTGCTAGAAAAAAAATCTTAGAGAAAAATGTCCAGTTTCAGAAAAGGATCTTTAGTCCGATCACACTTTGGTACAGAAGGAGGACAATGATTCAAAGTACAGTAGCAAAGTCACTTCTGAATAACTAAAAATTAACATAAAATTAAGTTTTGAACTTATCTATCTCATTCTAAATCTCATTCATTTGCAATTATCACAATGTTCACACTTAAAAGGCCTGAATTTGGGTGAATTAAAAAAATAAAATAAAATTCTGTAAATGAGAGAATTTGCAGAATCCTCAAATCAGAGAATCTGCAGGATTTGGGGAGAAAATCTCCCAAAATCCCACTCTAATCATTGGTTTTATCTGTTGCCACACTTGTTCAAAGTATTGTTTTGTTGTGATGTTAAACATTCACTGTGAGTTTTGCATTGCATGGCATTAGGGCATCACAAACAGATATGTTTTTTTTATTAGCAATTTAGCTAGCTTTTTTGTTGAATTGTATGGTATATAAGTTCCTTTAATGATAAATGCCCGAAATCTACTTACCTTGGTCTCGTGTTCTTTATATTTCAAAACTCTAAAAATTTGTAACAGGACGTTGTTGATCTCTGTGAAGATCAAATGCGAAAGCATACACCAGAGGGCGCTTGTGAGCTATGACAAACGCGAGACCTTTATTAAATAAGCTACCCGTGGAACTTACTGTCTTTGCATACTTTTAAATATTTACCGATTTTTATTTATTCTTAATTCATTTTGGAACACGCATTTATCTTTCGCGTTCTGAAGGTTTTTGAACCGAGCGGTATCATAATCCAGCAGCTTATTATATTTTGAATACACTGGAAGTGCAAGGTGGAACTGCATAAGAAACTAAAAATGATATGTTCGGACGATCTAACCGGTCCCTTCTGTCGACTGTGCTTCCGTATTTACACACCCACCAAATAAAACGCACAAACACACACGCACACGCAGGACAGGGCTCACTAGCGGCCGTCGGGTGAATGTTTACCGAACAAGCATAGAGTGGTGGTGCGGAAAGTGACAGTCACACTGGAGCCTTGGTGTATGGTGAAAGACAGGTGATTTCTGCTTCCACGGTTGCATTTTACAGCGGAATGTTCACTCGAAGGGGGCATGGGGACGTCAAGAAATCTACACAGAAAGTTCTGGACCCAAAGAAGGATGTTTTGACCCGACTGAAGCACCTGCGGGCGCTGATAGGTGAGTGAAAAGTCACTGGCGGTGGTTCCTGGATGCTGCATCGTCGAGGCTTAGCTGCGGGAGCTAACGTCAAAACACGGTATCAGGTTAGCTGTCTGCCTATCTGAGCGGCTACTAATTACAGCAACCTGACGACCGAGACGCGCATTGTCGGTGTGGAAATAAAAAACACACACTGAGCCGTTGAGATGCACTCTTACTAATGTTTGCATGTGTATATTTTAGAAGGGTTTCTTAAAAACAACAACAGCAACAACAAGTCTCTATGTGATGCGGATGGAAGCTAGCTAATATGAGTTAGCTCCCTGGCTGCTAACTAGCCAGCCAATATTGCTAGCTGATGTTGCCGAGCATCAATATGTTCTCACCGCCAGTCTTTATTATGTATTCCTGAGTCATTGTTACTTAAAAAAACCCAAAACAACAAAACAAATGAATGAATATACAATCAGACACTTAAAAATAAACATAGAATGTAAGAAAGTAGATCTATGGGGTTTGAATTCCCTATACTCTATATATCATTATTTGAAAATAATGCGTGACGTACACGCGTATTGATTCTTTCTGTTTATTAACAAGGAAGTGCAGGTTTTATGCTATTGTGCTCTCCTTGTCCTACAATATAATCATTTAAAAAGACAAGGTTTTATCTGTTGTTGCCACAGTTGTTCAAAGTATTGTTTTGTTTAAAAAAACAAACAAACAAACAAACAAAAAAAAAACAGTTTACACCCTGCTGCATTGTTGGATACAGTAAATCTTAATGTATAAAATTCTGTTCAAATTCAAAACTACATATTTTTTCCCAAAAGAAGATTAAATGTTGACATAACATGAAGTATTGTCAAAGTCGATGTGGGTGATGATCCTGTAGGTAGGGAAGATCTCCAATAGCAGTCAATCTTGCACCAAATCTAAAGTGGTCTCTGACTGAAGACTGATGCTGCATGACCCATGACTGCCATGACATGCTAGCGACACAAGATCCAGGCTGCAGAGATGACAAAACATACCCTGGATGGCACCATCAGTTGTTGACAATCACTGCTAATCCACCTCATTTGCTTTTGCTGATCCACTTGAAATCTCTGTGTGGCCATATGGCTAGAATGCTAAAAAGTTGCAGTCAGGAATATAATCCTTGCCCATTATGATCAATGTGAGAGATGGTTTGATCTTCTTCACCGCTAATATCAGCTTGAAACACTGATTTGTGTTGTTTACACCAAATTCTGCCCCTACCATCTAAATGCTGTTGAAATCGAGACCAACTACAGCTGGCAATGTTTTTCCTATCTTGTATTGTCTAATTTTGGGAAGCATGCATGAATTAGCCCTAGTTTCCTGTGGTTAGCTGACAGGAGAGACACTCGGTGTGGTCTTTTGTTGCTTCTACTTCAACTTTTAAAGGTTCATCCTGCTGTGTGTTGAGAGATGCTTTAAGGCATCTTGTTTGGGTATTTGAGTTACTGTTTCCTTTTGATAATCTCCAACCGGTCTACTTGTTTTCATGTGAACTCAGACACCAAAAAATAATTATGCCCAATAAGAATACTCTCTTACTGGGCATATTCTTGTTTTTGGATCACTCTGTAAATTGGTATAATGTTTTTCAATAATGTTGTTTTTGCATTTTTATATGTAGATGAAGCAAATGAAAGTTTGTTACATATTATCACCAACAGGTTGTTAATGACTTGTTAATAACCTGTAGTCTTACTTATACTGGGCTTATAGTGTCAATGCCAACTTTGCAGCTTATTTTTGGGGAACAAAATCATGGTCTTATTCTTCTGCCAACAAACACACTTGTTAACAAAACAGGAAAAATTCTCTGTCCTACAGCATAAGTCAGTATGCGAACATTGTACAAAAAATAAGGCCATACAAAAAAAAAAAATACACTATCTTACATAACATTCATAAATAACCTTATCATTGTATCACAGCAGAATGTACTGCTGCATAACTATTTTATTTATCATGTGACTGTAAATAGGAATTCTAAATATTAAACAGACTTGTTGGACGAGCGTAATTGTGGTATTAATTACATAATTACTGCAAAGTGTTTAATTGAAGAACATGTTGAACTTTCATTGTGTAGTAATGAATGTTTTATATGTTATTTGATCCACTGATATTAAAAGTTCTAACTTAAAGCTTTTTATTCTTGATTTTGTTTCAACAGTTTCAACTTCTACTTAAAATACAATTTATACACTCTGTAAAAAAAAAAATGACACTACCTGGTGAAAAAGAGTAATTGCTAGAGGATAAATATGCGGTTGAGATGTTTGTGATTGGAACATTTGTTGACGTATACATGGTTAATTGTGACCTTTACATGGGGACACATCATATGTTTCATTGATTTTTTTGTGCAGTGGAACAACAGCGACAGCCATTTTCTGCTTTATGTTGCTTTAGAAACCTGGACTAAACTTTGAAAAGTTAACTGAATGGGACTTGTCAGCTACAGGAGCATAAACACAGTCAATGTCAACAACGTGAAGGTCTGCACAGATCACTGCTTGTCCCCGAGTGTTTTTCTTTCCTTCTATGTGCGGCTAAAGATAAAGCTGGTGTGCATTTCCAGCTGATAGTATATGCTGATGTGTCCCAAACTTGCTGATTTTACTATGCTTTCAGCTAAGGAAGAATTTCCTCCTGTTCATGTTGGATCCTGTGTGGCCAGGAAATGGTGATTAGAGATGGGGTGTTACAGAGGAGAGGACAGGGACTTGGAAAGGAAGGGTGAAGGACAGAAAAAAACAGCTGTCCTTTCATTTCTTGGAGTTTTATCTTTTTAAGATAATTTTGTTCATTATACTGATTTTTGAAAAAAGAGCATTTATACTTAAGCAATTTTTTTTATTGTTAGATGCAAGCTTTGCCATTCCTAAAACAGTTTCAAAGCAGTGTTGATAAAAAAAAAATATTAGTTACATGTTTATTTATATTTTACTTTGAAAATGGCATGTAAATTTTTTGTGGCCTTATCAAAAATCAATGGAAACATCTTTGTGTTACAGTAGTCTAACCATTCCTATAATTGCAGACCAACATTTTTCATGTTTCCACTGGTATTTTGATGAGTTTTGTGTCTGTGAACGTCCTTAATTTTCTCCACCGAATGCTATTCGTATTTAAGTCTGGTGTCTGACTGGACAGCTTCAAAAAATGTTTATGATGTCCAGACAGAAACGTCTTGGTAAAAGGGAAAGATTATTTCGAATCTAAATCTGCCAGTAGCATGGACAATTTTGGGCTTTATTTTATATGATTGTGTTTTGGGTTTTAACTTTTTCCACACTGTTTTTATTGACTAGACGTGTTTTTAAAATGTGTCCCTCTCTTAATGAAGTGGAAATTGTTGTGGCTTTAGCAAACCACCAGTGTGCAGCAGCAAATTTAAGAAGACAATAGACCTTTACTTGCAGATTTTATACAGTAGGCAGATAGTTCTGGTTACTCCATCACTTTCTCAGACATCTCAATATGAGGACTTAAAACTTTAAAATATTAGAGGTTGGAAACTGTAACTTTAAAACTTCAGTATATGCCGACCTGTGAGTAGAGATGATTCATCCTAACCTCTTTAACCTGCTGTGTGACTGACTTGGAAAATTGTACAAGCATGTCTTTTATAGACGATACGAATAAAGCAGAAGCTGCCACTGTTGTAAAATACCATTAATTACTGCTAAAGTTACTTTTAAAGCTTCTGTTAAGCTGTGAATGTTTGTGTTTGAAAGCTTTGTAACAGTTCCCAGTTATTTCTTAATCAAGCTTGTTGAATCAGACTGTAGTATTCATGGGCCAGGCTATTTTCAGACTGTTTTTGCTCACTGAACGGATCTGTGGGATAGTGTGTGAAAGCTGCTGCATGTTAATTCGTCGGTCATGCCTGGCTGCTTTTGGCTGAGGTTGTTAATTACAGCAGGCCAACCAACCACCTGATCGCTCACTGCTCCACTCACTGGTGGCACACGGGGGTGCTTTTCCTGCATATTCTTTCCAGTTCCTTTTCTGTGGTGGTTGTTCTCCTCTTTGGTCCAAACCTGCTCCTTATTCCATGAAGCCTGGCAGGGTCCAGTTTATTGCAAAAAGAGAACTTTAAAGGAGGGTTTAAGAAGTGGTGGGAAATCATTTCAGTAAATACTTGAGAGGGAAAATATATATAAATATTTTTCACCTCTGGTTTGACTAAAACCAGAAGTGGCTTTCTTTGCTGGCGAAAACAAGCTCAGGTCGCATCTGATGCTGAACTGCTTGGGAACTACAATGCATGTGTACCAAGTGTTGCTAGTGATAACCGGTGTATTGTAGTTTAAGTTTGCACCCTCATTTTAACTTCTACTATAGATGGATGACTCTGATCTGCATTTTAATTACAGAAAGTAAATGAAGTGTCTGATACCTTACCTTCCTTTATTGTGGGCTTTGAGTGTTTTTGGGGTCAATTGAAAGTGCTGTTGTTATAGGAGGAAATCAAAGCTGAAGCACCACGAGAAGCTATGACTACAAAACTAGAAGGGCTCTTGAGAAGGTCCTCTCTCTGAGGTTGAGGTAAACGCTTCATCACTCAGCTTGTAATTCCCCCCTTTTTGTTAAACACTTAATTTAGGCTTACACGCAGCGATAGCTCTTATCTTCTTTTATCTGGCACAATGTACGTGTAACATCACCACCTAAATGGTATGTCACTATAACACTTAGCAAATATTAGAGGGTTCTTTAAAACATTTTGCAATCATTTCAGTTTTGTTCCCTATATGTATGTTATTAAGTTGTACAAGTGGTAAAGTGTTTTTTTGGGTGGTTTTTTTTCTGGCAGGAGAATATACTCAGTCTCTCATATTGTAACAAGAAGATTAAAAGCAGAAAAGTTGCACTTTATCGATGTACTAATCATGAACTGGCACGTTTCAAGTTTGATACAGATTATAGTTGACTCTCATTTCAGTTAGTACATTTTTTCAAGTTATTGGATA